GTATAACAACTCACAACATGCATGATCACTCTTTTTGCATACGCCATTTTGAAATGTGAATAATAGAACTTAGCAGCAGGCTTCCTGCTTGAGATATAACAGAATTCCTCTTGCAGGTCTCCAAACCGTTTGCTTTATTTTTCAGCGATGAAAATTTGGTGTCTATGGTGGTTAAGGATGGTAGTCTGCAAAAGGGCCAGATGATATTGGTGCTAATGATAACCAAAATAATGCACCAGACAACAATGCTGGGGATGGTGACCAAGGGCCACCAGATGACTATGACTTTGGGGACGGAGATGATGAAATGTATGAAGGAGGCTTTGATGAAGGTTGGCGTGCCGATCTGTGGTTGGCTGCATGTTCACACATCAGGTGAACAAATTTCGGTTGCTGTGGATAAAAGAAATTGCAAATTGAAAATTCGAAATTGCGTCACCGAACAGGAAAATGGACCTCTTCGGTTACAAGGTCAACTTTTATCCAAAAAAAAAAAATTATTGAAAAATAACTAAAAAATATTATACAAAAAACTAGTAAGTACAATAAAAGTTGTTTTTTTTTTTAAAAGCCAAATAAAATTTTTAATAAGATAACGAGTACAAGGGGTACTCAAACCCATTTACAAACAAGCAAAAATACCAGCCAATTCAAGTTACCCCTATCTTTCAAACCTATCCTTCTCCCATTTACTCAATTCCCCCCACAATTAGTAGTAAGGCATGAAATTGGGTCTTGCAACCAGTCAGAAAGATTGAAGTAACACCTAGCTTTCTTTGCCTTAATCCATACAAAGGATCTCAATTGTATAAGTTCGAAAATCTTACCCCTATTTGCCTTTGAATCTTGGAAAATTTTTTGATTTCGTGCTAGCCACACGGACCAAACCGTTGTGCTCCAGATGCAGTCCCATCCTTCTCTGATGCTTTGATGTTTAGTCCATGTCCCGAAATTTTCAAAGGTTTTCCAACAGTCTTTGTCTAACTTGATGGTAATCCCCCACCAATTAGCACACGCCATCCATAACCACCTAGCTACATTGCAATTCAAAAACAAGTGATTGATGTCCTCGTCCTCCACCTCACACAATGTGCATTTCCCATCTCCCATGTCCTTGATGATTCCTCTCTTTAACAGATTCAGTTTGGTTGGAATTCTATCCATCATTACTTTCCAATTAAATGCAGCAATTTTACTTGGGAGGATAGGGTTCCATACCCTCTTGAAGAATTTTGTTTCGACCAGTCCCCTTTCCTCTTTTGTTAACATCTCGTACGCAATTGAGGTTGAGTATAGGCCATCTTTACTATGCCTCCATTCCTATTCATCTGGACTTCTTGGGTAGATCTTCACCTCCCCTATCATCTTGTAGAGTTCCTTTGCCTCCTCCTCTTCCCATTGAAATAGGTTTCTTCTCCATGATAGGTTCCATTTCCATGTGTCGCTTTGATTGTTACCCATTTGATAGCATTCCTTCTCTTTACCTGTTGAAAATAAATACAATCTAGGGAACTTATTAGCAAGGCAACCTTCCCCGCACCACTCATCCCACCAGAAGCTTACCCTTTTCCCTTCTCCTACCTTAATCCTAAAACCCTTCGACAACCACCCTACATTCAACCCGTCCCCCATATTAAGGGCCCGAACATCTCTCCACCATATCGAACCTACCCTTCTCCCATCTCTTACCCGATCAAGCCAATGTCCTCCTCCCCCCCCATATTTCCCAACAACAACTTTCTTCCATAAGCCTTCTCCATTTGTCGCTAATCTCCCCCACCACTTTCCCTTCAACGTCAAGTTAAATTTTATCAAATCCCTTACTCCCAGCCCTCCTTGTTCTTTTTGCTTACAAACCCTCTCCTAGCTAACCCAATTAATTTTTTTCTCAACTCCCTCCCTTCCCCATAAGAAACTTCTATGAATTTTATCAATAGATTTGAGAATACCTTTTGGAATAAGGTAGACTGACATCAGGAACACAAGCAAGCTAGACAACACAGAGTTAATGAGCGTGACCCGACCTGCAAGCGAGAGATGCCGACCTTTCCAGCTAGCTAATTTCCTTTTGAAAGAATCCACCAAAGGCTGCCACATTGCTAATTTTCTATGGTTCCCACCAATTGGAATTCCCAGGTATTTCATTGGGAACTCTCCCACCTTGCAACACAGCTTATACGCCATTTTCTCAATCCATCCTTCCTCTGCTTCAACCCCCACTATCTGACTCTTCCCATAATTAATTTTCAGACCCGAGGCCAACTCAAAAGTCCTCATGATACATTTGATCACTCCTATATTGTCTTCTGATGCCTCCCCAAAAAAAATTGTATCGTCCGCAAATTGTAAATGGGTGACCGTCACCTCACCGTCACCAATCAACACCCCCTTGTACATTTCCTTCTCAATTGCGGATGACACTAATCCATTCAACCCTTCCACCACAATCAAAAATAAAAAAGGGGATAGCAGATCACCTTGTCTTAATCCTTTGCTGACAGGGAACTGCTTTGTTGGGCTTCCATTGATAAGAATTGAAATCATGCTTGATTGAAGACACTCCTGTATCCATTTCCTCCATGTATCATTGAATCCCATCCTCAGCATCATGTAGTCTAAGAATTCCCAACATACTTTATCGTATGCCTTTTCAAAGTCTATTTTGAACACGAAGCTTTTCCTTTTCCTTCTCCTTGCCTCTTCAATCACCTCACTTGCAATTACTGCGCCATCCACAAGTTGTCTACAATGTATGAACGCCATCTGCTGCTCCCCAATAATTCTATCCAGCACTTTTCGGAGTTGATTTGCTAATAACTTCGCGATGATCTTATACATGATCCCAATAAGAGAGATGGGTCTGAATTCTTCTATTCGCTGTGGGTTTTCCACCTTTGGGATTAGAACAATGAAAGAAGGGTTTGACCCTTTCACGAGCTTTCCTGGTGAAAAGTATTACATGAAAAGTTAACGGGTTTCATGGTAAAATTTTGTTAAATCATTGATTTTTCTATATTTGATAAGAAATTTGTATGAAAAAAGTTGCTAAGAACGTTGTTAAGTGGATCCAACATAGAAAATGTTGGGTAAAATCTTTTTCATTGCAAAAGGTAGGGTGAGCATTTTTAAATATTGGTCAAGTATGAACTATATTTGATAGTTGATTTGAAAATTTTTTAGTACAGCTTTTAAAATTTGGCATTTACCTAAGTCCTTGAAAATATATACTTGGAATTGAATCCAACAAGTATGGAGTTACTTATGAGTATATAATTATGTACTTGATTTAAAGAAAGAAAATGTCTAGAAGAAGATAATATCGTTGCATGTGTCATGTATTTGTTTTAAAATTTATTATTTATTTGAGTTATTATTACTGCATGTATAATTTGTTTGGTTCATAAGCATTATAATTTTATTTCTATTTTTTGGATTTTATCATTTTTATTTTTAAAAATTATTTTTATTATTAGATATCATATGTAAAATTTTAATTAAGTAAGTATAGGTTACATGTCAAATTAATAAGTCAGGTAAATAGTTTTGAACCTTAATACTTGTTGTTTAACTTAATATTTACGAGTATATTATTTTCATACCCATTATTTACTTATTTTTTTATAATTCAAATATGGTACTTATCCAAACAGGTAAGGTGCTTGCAAATATTTGGGGTACTCTACCCAATGCTCACCCATGGACTGAAAATTGTGTTAAGAAAATAAAAAAAATATATATCACTTTAACTCTCTTTTTATTATAGTATTAACATATAAAAATACACAAATAATCTTATCAAAAAAGTTAGAAAATTTTAAAAGAAAAAAAAAGTTTACCTCCAACCAAATTCCCCTAAATCTTAACTACATGGAAGTGATTTTGGCCATTGTTTTTTTTTTCTTTTTTTTTTTTATGGTACTAACCTTTCGATATTCGGTAATCACTTTGGGTTCCGACTAATCTGGAATTGAACTAGGTTGGACCCCATTAGGGGAAAGCTGTTCCAACACCTATTTCTTCATTCATAAGACTCGATCTTGAAATCTTGTTTAAGGGAAACTGAACTCCTTCTACTCGGACCAATAAATCATTGGTAATTTTGGCCATTGTAAATTTAACTAGAGGAGACATTTGACCTAGAAGAATGAGATGTATGGTACAGCTATGGGAGCTTGTCCTCATTGGGTTAGGAACTCAGGATGAGCCTTATTTGAAAATTGGTTCTCATTGGCTTAAGTCCTTGAAATGCCCCTTTAACTTACTAACTTTGAAGGAGTTTAACCCTAAATTTATAAGTGCAGGATTTATGACCCTAAAACTTAAAAGTATAAGGATTTATACCCTCAAGTTAACGAAAAACGTTAAGTCTCAGTTAAAAGAAAAGCTAAGTAGTATTAGAGTTAGTCCTCAAAGAATACAAAAGTGATAAGTAAAGTCCCAATAACTTACAATGGCAGATATAGCCTCATATACAAGAACTATAATAAACATTTCCAATCAAATTGAGCACGTGGTTCATTCCGAAGAAGAAATTCTAGCTGAAATCAAAGAAAACCTTTTAATTGAGTTAAGGCAAAGAATCCAAGAAAAAGAAAGAATAAACTCAATAATACAACTATATAATAGACAAATTAGATTTAGAGAATAGAGAATTAAAAAATTAAGAGAAATTGTTGGAACACTAAAATTAACATGAATAAGGACCAAATAAATTGGATTAACATGTATCTACTTAATACATTAGGTAGAAACATAATTCATATAGAAGATATAATTATCATTGATAAAATTCTTGAAATGGAAACTATCAATAAAAATATTCTAAGAAGAATTAGAGAAACGAGAAAATCCCTTTCTCTAGAATTTGACTCTATTAAAGAAAAAATAAATGAAGTAAAAAATTGTAGAGATCTAAAAGAAATAAAAGAAGAAATACAATCTATCAAAGACTCAAAAACTTTGATACATCGAGTTAAAGATATAGAACTTAAATTAGAAGAAAATTTTAAGATATTGAAAGCGGTTGTTGAAAAATTTGCAATAAAAGCTTAAAGATGTGTAGTAGAATAATTCCACAACTAGAAAATGATATAGATAAAAATTTTTATAAGATTCAAACCCAGCTCAGGGATTTGCAAGATACCATAATATCAGTTTATAGTAGGTGAAATATAGTAGATAAAAATGAAGGATTTAAAATGATTCCAAGGATTTTCATTGAAAAGCCTAAATCAAAAGGAATAATACTTCTGATGTTAAAAAACCAAGAAGAAAAGTTAAAAGAACTTGAACAAAAATTCTTAAAAGAAAAAATGTAGAAGAATTAGATAATCTGTGCGAACAAATTACTCTAACTACTAAACAATTAGAAAATATGAAAATGAATACAAAGGAAGAAATTGAGAGTGAAACAAAATTTCCAATGCAACCTAAACTAAAATCTAGCATAAGCTAAAGCTATAGAAGGAATAGAAATTTAACACATGAAATAATCTATGATAAAAAGAGTAAAAGATTTGTGAATTAATCTAAAGTTGAGACTCTAGTTAGAGCCAAAGAACAAATGATTACTACTAATAGTATTTGGTTAGTGTTGACGTGCCAAAATGGATGGAGTTGCCATCTATCCAAATGAGGTGGGATAGATCACCAAAGTCTAAGTCTACGCAGAAATTGACTAAGCTCGGATGTTTGGTTAAGCATGGGTAAGGTGTTAGGCACCCCACAACTTTTAAATAATATGGTTACCACATATTTTAATTTTGAAGACTTTTCCATTTTATATAATAATTACCCCAGAACATAAAATAAAAAAAAATAAAAAAAAAAACTTCAAAACCCCATTATTGTCTTTTTCCGTCCCCTT